CAGCCTGTGAAACGAACTAATAAAATTAACAATGCACCAAACGTTTTACCCCAATAAAATTGACTATAAGTCTAGCGAATTTCCTTTCAATTGACGCCAAAACCGAATTTTCAAAAGCATCCAAAGTGGAGATTAAAAACATACATTTTAATCATTGTGTGCCGCAACATTCTGATCATTTTTGTCGGTATGTTAATTAATCACTAGTCATAAATCAGGTCGTGCGTCCGTTTAAGACGAAGCCCCTCTTGCAAAACACGATTTTATTCACCCAGAAGATTTTTTGTGGTTTTGAGAATTTTTCAATTCAGATTTATAACGAATTTTCAGATGCATCTAAAGTTAAGTCCTGAAGAACAATTTTTTATTCCTGCACTTGCCATAAAAATGCTAACTAGCCAACAAAATAAAAAAATCCAACACAGCTTTGCCCGGAAGGAACCGAATGAATTTGACTGCAAACAAGACAAATTTCGCTTGAATCGCGACACGAGAAGAATTTTCAGAAGCCTCCAGAATTGAGGTACCTACTCTAAAACTTCAATTTCTAACCCGCATTTGCCATTTAAACCCTAAATTTGGCAAAGAACTACATTTTTTGACGTAAACTTCTTGTAGAGTGTAACCAACACATTTACGCACAAAGTGGCGCAATTTTCCCAAATTCCAGGCTAAAGGCGAATTTTTCGAAGGATCCAAATTGTGGACTCGAACACTTTAACTTTGTGCGGCTGTTTCCTTTAACAATCCAAACATACGAACGAAATAAGACTGTTGAACTAAACTTCTCAGAGTGTAACTAAAACATTGATGAACAATTTGAGGCTTTTTTCCCGTATCAAGCCGAAAATCAATGTTCAGAAGCACCCAAAATGTAGGTCTAATGAACGCAATTTCCAAACAGTTTACAGTCATTTGCCATAAAAATCCAACCCTGGCCACGAAATAAACTATTTCAACGAAACCTCCGACAGACTTCAACCAATAAATGTATGAACAATTTGAACAATTTTCGTTTCAATCGAAATGCAGGCGGAATTTGATGAAGCATCAAAAAAGAAGCTCTAAAAATGTGCACATTTTCACCAAAGTGCGTGCAGCTGCCATGAAAATTGTAAGTTGCTGACGACATTACAAAATTCAGCAAGCCTTTCCCCAAAGTGAAACCAATCCATTTCAATACAAATTGACCAAATTTCCTCTTCAATTCAGGTAAGAACCGAATTTTGAGAAGTCTCCAAGGGGGCGACTCTAATGAAGCAATTTCTGATCATCACCCATTGCTTTCAAAATCCAAACTCGCCATAAAAACTAAACATTTGAACTAAGTTTCTAGCTAAATGTAACCAACAGCTTGAGTTACAAATTGAGGTAATTTCTCCCAAATTCAGATGAGAGCTGAATTTTCAGAATCATTTCGAGGCTCGAAAAGCGCAATTACAAATCAGTGTACAGGCTTTAGCGGAGAAATTTCCCATTGAGCAACGAACTCGTAATGAACTGACCTTTTTTCAATTTAGAACCAATAAAACGTAGTACAAATTGGGAAAAATTGCCCTCAATCTAGACCAAAGCCGAATTTTGAACAGCATCCCAAGTGATTTCTAGCCATTGTGCTGGCATTTGCATAAAAAATCCCAACTCATCAATAAAATACAAAAATTGAACTACTGTTCCTATGAAGCCTTATCCATACATTTGACCACAAATTGAGCACAATTCTCTTTAATTCAGGGACGAGGCGAAATTTGAGACGTCGTCAAAGTGGCGACTTCAATATCACAATGTCTAACCAGTAAAATGTCCAGTTCTTAAAAGAGTAGATTTTTCTCTAAAAAATTACCAAACTTACCAATCAAGGGAAAATAAACTGAACGAGCGAAGCAACAAACAACACACGCACCAATTTTGCAGAAGCACCCAGAGTTAAGACATAAAATTCGATTTCTAACCAACTTGCTAAAAAATCCAAAGTTTTTTTTAAGAACTTTTACCGAATTTTTTTTTTAATGTTTCAAAAATTTCAACCTCAATGCAGGTTCAACTTTCCATTTTTCTGGCACATTCAAAGATTAAAAGCCCCATTTCTAATCATCGCGTAGTCATTTCCTAGCTAAATCCAACCGTGTCAACTAAATAAAAAAATAACTAAACTTTTGACAAAGTGGGGCCAATAATTTTGCAGACAACTTCTGGAGTTTGAAAAGGCATTCAAAACAGAAGCCCTAAACATAAAACAATAAAAATACAACAAAACTAATAAAATATCAAACTGGCCGACAAAATAAGAATATTGAAGTAAGTTTCCTGAAGAGTGTAACTAAGACATTTATGTACAACTTTACGCAATTTTTACCTAATCCAAGGGAAATTCCCCAATTCCACTGCAATGATCAATTTCAAGACAAATTCCCTGCTATGCCTGAGTGTAACTGCTATGCTTAGGTACAAATTGGCCAAATTTCCCCATCACCTAGACAAGAGCCGAATTTTTAGAAGCATTCAAAGAAGATACCTTAAAAACCCAATTTCAAACCATTGCGTCTTCACTTGAATCTCTTCACTCTCTCGAATTTATAACCTTGCAACTAAATAAAAAAAATTAAGAAAACTTCCTGCATTGTCACCAATACACTTAAGTACAATTTGACGCAGTTTTCCACTAATCCATACAAAAGTCGATTTTTTAGACGCTTCCAAAAGGATCAAAAGTGATGACGCTAAAAACGCAGTTTTTAACGACGAGAACGAACAGAGAGGGACAAAGAGTTAAAACGGGAAACAGAGTTAAAACGCGAAAAAGCGTTAAACGTCCAGCACAGTCTAATCAACACATTTCAGTATAAATTGGCGTAATTTTTCCCAAATCCATCGAACAACCGAATTTTTTAGAAGTTTGCCAGTGTGCAGACTTTAGCGATACAATTCCTAACTTGGCAACAAAATAATAAAATTTACTCGATTTTCTGCAAAGGGTAACCAATAAAATTGAGTACAAATGGAGCAATTTTCCCATGAACCCAGGCAAAAGTCGAGTTTTCCAAAGCATTCAAACTGAAGACTAGAGTCGTAATTTTCAGTGCATTTGCGTATCAATTTCCCCCCAATCCAGGCAATAATTGCGGTTTTAGGTTTTCCTTGTTCTGCTACAATTGCGGAAAAATATTTTTGGGAAAAAACCCCAAAAAATATTAGGGTTTAGTCCAAAATTCGAAGTTGCAAAAGTAAAAAAAATCTTCACGAAGCTGTTAAGGAGCGAGTGTTCGAATACAATTTATTTAATAATTTTTCACAGAAAATACCGGAATATTGTAAGTGTTTTTAAGTAATACTTTAGAAAATAATGCGTTTCCTTGCTTAAAGAATTGCTTTAGAAAAACTTTGTTAAAACTGGAAAGACCCGAAATTTTAAATAAACTTTAAAATTCTTCAGAGCGATGAGGGTGACAAACTTTTAAAATAATTTTTTGTAAGCTCTGGTCGTTTTTTCAATACAATCTTAATTGCTTTGCAAAAAAAGTAAACAAAATTATATGGTTTTTGTGCCAAGTTCAAAAGGGTTTTTTAAAATCTTCTGCAATGCGATGCATGAGGCCAATTTTCTATCAAAATTAATTGTGTCGTTTTTGGCTTGACCCCTTGGTTGTCGGAAAAGAAGAAAAGCATCAGCAAATATTGCAATTTTTGAGCTTTCGATTAAAAACTTCTAGTTTTGTGATCGGTTTTTCAGAAATCTTCAATAATTTTCCGGAAAAAATGGGAAAACTTATTTTCGTTTTTGTCCCGAATTCGACGCTGAAAAAGGTTTTTTGTAAAATTCCTTCAAAGCTATAAATTTATTTTGAAATTTTTTGCGTAAAATGCCTCCAGACTGTCAGTATTTTTAAGTTGTACGTACTTTCCTGACTGTGTTTCAATTCCAAATTAAAATCAAATCCTGGGTTCTTCAGTCATTTATTGTTCATTTATCAATTAAAAAAACGTTTCGGTGTTTTCCACCATCATCAGTTTCAATGTGTAGCGTTGTTGCTACTTTACGCCTTGGCATGTATTTTGAAGCAACATAAAGTTGTGCAACGTAAAGTAGCAACAACGCTACACATTGAAACTGATGATGGTGGAAAACACCGAAACGTTTTTTTAATTGATAAATGAACAATAAATGACTGAAGAACCCAGGATTTGATTTTAATTTGGAGTATTTTTAAGTGAATCTACAAAATAGACAGTTTTTGAGTATAAAGTAAAGCAAGAAAAAAATTCGACCACAACTCAAAATCCACAGTTTTTAAACCAACTCTAAAGGCATAAGAGGAGTGGGGGTGATTAGTTTTCCAACAAATTTATTATAAACTAAATAAACGGAATAAGCGTATTATTCCGTTCGTTTTTTAATAAAAAATTATTTAATTTTTGTCTTAAATTTGAGGCAGGAAAAATATTTTAATACTTTCTACGATACGACGGAGGCAAATGATGCTATAAAATTAATTTGTTGTTAATAAATGGCCTTTAAAATTAATCGAAAAACAACTTAACAAAAAAGTCAATTTTTTTCCAGCAACGAAACTGAGTTACTGCCCCTGTGCGTTGGGTTGGCGCACAAAGCCATTTGCGCAACACTGCGCCAACTCCAAAAAATTAACTGCGTTAACCAGGCCTAATTAAAGGTGGAGATTGATAACACAATTTCCAACTAGTCCGACACCATTTTTGATAAAAATTTCAACTTCTCAACGAAATAAAATAACATTCCTTCCTATAGGGTGAAACCACAGACCAAATTTCGTTGCAAGCACCTAATTTGGAGGCAGTAAAGGCGCAATTTTCACCATTTCGTCAACTTCGAATCCCTCTCCTCTGACTCAATGGTGAAGGTTTCGCGCGATCAATTTTAATCAGAAAAAATAATTCTGAGTACCCCCAGAAGATACAGAAACCATTCATCCACCTCACATCCACAGCGCCGCTTTCCATTTACACAAAACATTTTTTTTTAGAGATTAGTGTGCATTTGGCTGGTTGTCAGTCCAGTGGTGTCGATTGCCGTCCAAGATGCCATTTTCTCAAACGCAATCCAGCGAGACAAAACGATTCCAAACAAAACCAGCCCAGCAACTGGAGATGTGAAGCCTTTGAAAAAGGTGTTTTTGTCCGATCGGTCTGTGACCTGCAACGATGGCTCCCAAGCAGGGTATTTGGATGGCTCAATGATTCTTCCTGCCTCTACATGCACCTTTTTTTAGGTTTTATCTGCGCAAATCGGCTCACAGCAAGAAATGGATCATTTTTCTTGAGGGCGGCTGGTACTGCTACGACCATCACAGCTGCAGGAATCGATGGGTCAAGCAGCGGCATTTCATGACTTCTTCGAATTGGCCCGAAACCCGGGAAGGTCAGTGGTTTATCAAGTCCATTTCCTCTTTGATTTACGCTAAAAATTCATTTCTTCGTATAAACAGTCAGTGGGATTCTGTCGCCCTCCATGGAGGAGAACCCGTACTGGTGGAACGCCAATCACGTGTTCGTTCCCTACTGCTCCAGCGACTCCTGGAGCGGCTCCAAAAAGCTGGATAAGCGCGGTTTGTTCAGCTTCATGGGATCGTCCATAGTTCTGCAAGTGGTCAGAGATCTGTTGCCTTTAGGCCTGGAAAACAGCACCGATCTTCTGCTAGCAGGTACGGCGTTAAAATCCTGCAATCCCCGCAGTAGGAGTTTAATCCTCAACATTGGTGCAGGCAGCAGTGCAGGCGGAACCGGCGTGATGATCAATCTGGACTTTGTGGAAGAGCTGCTGCATGAGCAGATGAACCGGACGAAAATCCGCGTCAAGGGAGTAACGGATTCTGGATGGTTCCTGGATAGAACCCCGTTTGCGCCCACCAATAAACCGGCAGTGGAGGCGATTCGCAAGGGGATGGACCTCTGGCAAGGCCGAGTGCCTAGAAGATGTCGCGAACAGTACCTGGACGAACCATGGAGGTGCTACTTTGGCTACCGGATTTACCCCACTCTTAAAGGTACTATACAGGGTGATTGAACGATAAACGTGAACTAAAAAAAATGTTTCAGTTCAACTTTTCGTCTTCCAATGGCTGTTTGACGAGGCCCAAATGGACGCAGATAATGTGGGAGCCCCCGTCACCAAACAGCAATGGGACTACATTCATAAAATGGGCGACGCGCTGCGCCACAGCTTCCAAAACGTTTCGGCTGTATTTGCACCCTCCTGCATCTCGCACTCGGTGCTCACCAAGCGCGATTGGCTAAACGTGAATATCGACGGCATTTCCATTGCGGATGCGCTCCACTGTTGGGAGCAGAAGACCAACAAACGAAGGTATGACAGGAGTAATTATTAAAAAAAAATTCAGTCTGCAGCAATTTTTTTAGGCTAAAGCGCAGAAAGAACAACAGGGGAAAAGGCAAGCGACGACAGAACAGAACCAACCGGCTGAATAAGACAATGGGGGCCACCCAAGAGGAGAGCGATGAAATTGGCGAAAACTTCGACAGAAATAAGCAGAAGAACGCACACAGAAACAGAAAACGGAAAAATAATAATGGTAGGTAATCAACTTGAAAACATAAAAACCGTTTAACTGGATTTGGGGTAAATTGCAGGAAAAAACGCAAATAGAAGAAAAGCAAATCTAATTAGACCCATGGGCAACGTTTCCAAGAACAATCTCAGCTCCATCAACCATCCAGCTTGGAGTGGGCAGCAGTCGAAGCCGCGAAATGCCTTCAACAAGAAACATTGCATCCATAGACGGTTGGAACGGTGTTCTTGGCCACAAGTAAGTCAAAAAATAGTAATCGAGTGTGAGATATTTAATGCGAATAATTTTCTTTAGTGCAACCACTCGTGCCCAAAGCTGCACAATCCGTTTACTGGCGAAGAAATGGAATTTATCGAGCTGCTGAAATCCTTCGGTTTGGACATGAACAGCGTGGCAAATGCTTTGGGAATCGACATGGAAACCTTGAACAACATGGATCAGGGCGAGTTGCTCAATCTGCTCACTCAGCAGGCAAATTAGCCGTTTGCAAAGTCGTTGTTTAGTTTTACATTGTTTGTTTCCTGCCTGAAAGTCCAAAAAGAAATTGGTTACTAAACCCACACAGTACAGAGAGTATATTATTATATGCATAAGAAATAGTTCATTTTTGGCAACGAAACATATGTCCGAAGCCTTTATTACGTGTGATAATCAATTGGCCCAAATGCAAACTCATACAAAGGGAATTTTATATAGATTTGTAGATATGTCCTGTTTAAACTTACCTGTACATATTACGATTTTATATAGTGTAAATAGTCAAAGTTATTTATTTGTACATGTTGTCTTCTTATACAATTTCGCCCTACACATTTGCATTTATTGTTTAATTGTCATTTAACTGCTTGAGACGAACGTTAGAAATTAGGCGATTTATTTATTTATTTATTTAAGTTAGACCCCAAAGACGTTTTGCTCGGATTTTAGCGCAATAGGACTGATTTTCATTCTACCTCATTTTTTTGTATATTGTTTAGGTTTTAGACTATTGATAATTATTGTTTGATAACTAGTTTATTTTCTTTTTTACTTGAATATAAATGGCACTTCACTATGCTTGTTGTCTTTAATTGCCCCTTATTTTACCTTTTTTAGCGATTTATTTCCGTTCAATTTCAATGAAGAAATTTACTCCAGCAAGGATTTTCGGAATGGTGAGGTTAGCCCATGCTACATAAAATGTTGATTAAATTTCTCAATTTTACACGAAATTTCCAATTTGCTTTAAGGGGCGCTTTCTGAAAGTTCATAGCTGATGGTTGAATTAGGCGACGGAAAATAATGCGATTCAATAACATAAACAGCAGTTTTTGGATGGGAAAGATTTAGTTTAAGGGATGGAACTTTTGCCGATTTTCGGCGAGCTTTCGGTTTAAGCTGAGTGATAAATTGCTTCTGTTCCACACAAAACCTTCACCACCATCCAAACTGGGGCCCCAAAGCACAATTTTCAACCATTTATTAAAAAGTGTAACTATTTCTAAAAAAATCACCAAGCGTACCAATGAAGTTACAAAACTGAGCGCCGTTTTCTACAGAACGTACACAAAACATCTAGCAATACACTCAGCTATCTTTTGGTCAATCCAGGTTGGGGCAGAATTTTCATATGAACTTAAAGTTAGGACCTAAAAATTGCAATTTTTTTGTCCTTGTGCAGCCGTTTCATCTAAAAATCCCAACTTGGCAACGAAATTACAAAATTGAACAAAAATTTGCTCAAAGGCTAACTAATGCATATAGCTACAAATAAACAAAATTGCCTTTAAATCCAGACACGAGACGCATTTTCAGAAGCATCCAAAGTTTAGGTATTCTTTAAATCCAATTTTTAACCCGCATGTAAATAACCATTTGCTATTAACATCTGAACTTGGCAAAATTTTTTTTTTATTTGTTTTTTATCGCTCGATCAAACAAGGCGAATGGTTCTTTGCGCTTTATGTCTAGTTTTACAGTATGCAATGAAGTAAATAAGGAAGCATGAAGACGATGAGACAAAAAAAGGGACGCTTGGTTTGCGGTCAAAAAAAGACACTTTAATTCATTTTCTGGGGACAATTCAATCAAAAAAATAAATTTTAATAGCGTTTACTCTTCTGTCTCGTGTACTTTAAGATACATACAATCTGTTTCAAGTTGTTAAACTTTCGGCGTTCTTCAATTTTTATAAATAACACCAACAGAAAGCGAAGAAAACTTAGAATCTTACATATAAACAGTGAATCGAAGTCAGGAATATTTTTACTCATGCAATGGGTTTGAACTAGTAATTTTTCTAATTATAGGAACAGCACTATAGAGCTGCCAACAAATAGAAACAACTTACAAAAATGGTCTAATTAAAGTATTTTTGATTACTCCAATTACTTGACATTGCCGTGGTAATAAACGACAAAAAAAGTGAAATTATGCTCTCTTTGAACACACGCACATTCCGTTTCCCTATTATCAGGTTAAAAAAGCGGTATTTAAATGAAGATGTCGCTGCCTTTAGTTCAGCGTCAACGGCGCAATTGAGTAGTAGAGTAGTATCCGTTGTTTGACAGTTTCTACTCGGCTTTTTAGCGTTTCGCAAGAGTTAATGCAAAAACCAGATCAGTAAATCCGGAAAAACGCTTTTTATCTCCAGAGAAGAAACGCGCAAAATCAGTATTTTGGCCAAATTTCTGTTCCTAAAAAACAAAGTGAAACGTATTATCTGACATGTAAATACCTAATATGAAGTCGGGAATAGTTAAGGATTGTATACTGGGAGTGCGGTTGGTGCATAAGTGCTGTAGAGCTCACACAGGAAAAAAAAATTGCCTAGAAAAAGTATTTCCCAATTGTTATTAAAATTTAGCATTTACCAAAAAACAGCAAGTGAAGTGGAAACCACGCAAGCAAAGCCAACTTTTTAAAAAATCTACCGATTTATGCCATCGCTAAATTATTATTTAATCTATGCGCTCCTTCAGCACCAATAGCGCCATTGAGGAGTAGAAAAGTATCGGTTGTTTAACAGTATCAAATAATTACGCAACGTTGGAAGAATCAGGTAAAATTATTGCTGAAAAAGTAATTTTTTTGGTACGTTTAATCAGAAGTGAAAAAAGGCAAAAGCAAATTCCGCTTTGGGCGTTGGAAAGTTGTCAAAACTCACAATCTCAGGCGATTTTATTGGAGTTTTCGGGACTTTTACCTTCAAGTGTCTTTTATAGTCGGTAAAAAAGTTGCGTTTGGCTCTTTGGAGTCTGCATGCAGGGTACTTATATGAAACCTTGCATTTCTGATCCAAGCTTGCAGAAGATGGTAACACTGGAATTCTGGGCGATTGTACTAAAATGTTTAGAACTTTTGCGCTTCTATAGTTTCTGAAAATGTTACGTTATATCTGACTATGGGGCAAAAGTGGGAACTTGGGAAAAAAACGGTTTTGTACTAATATTTATATTTTTGCTCCAGTACTTACCGAGTTGACAATTAATAAAAATCAATGAGAAGTAAATGCAATTTTCAAAACTAGGACATTCAAACATTTTCTCTAGTAGCAAAATTTCAAACCTATTAAATGGCAAATGTGGTTTGGGTGAACATTTCTGGAACGTTGGGGATATTTTATTGGATTTGGAATGGATAAGTAGTTTAACCCTCACAGCTCTTAAGTATTTTCTAATAACTCAACTAAAAAGACAATTTTTCAGAAGCAGTTTGCTTTGTTTCAACGCGGCTCATGCTTGGGAATTATTTTTTTTTTGAGTTGAGGCTGCCAATTTCATAAGGAAACAGTAACGGATACAGCCATTACTTACGAATAAATGAATCATTTCCATTTAAATTTTTTCCATTCTACTAACTGACAAGTATTTTACAGTAAGCAACTTTAAGATTAAGTAGCTAAGAAATTGTCGGTATTTGTTGGTGTTGTCTCAATTTTTGAGAGAGGAAAAACCACTCTTCTTAATTTTTCATTTGTTAATTGGTTAATGAGTTACGGAGTAGAACCGAAAAATTGTTAATTGCGACTTGATTCTTTAGCTACTTTGTACCAGAAATATTTGAAAAACAAATGACAAAACCATAATTCATTGTTTAATTCTTGCTGTTGTTCCAAAGGTTTTTTATTCGAATATGTCCTAATAGCTTTCTTTCTAAGGATACAGGCAACTAGGGATGGGACATTGAGCCTCTAACGTCGATGGTTGCCATCGAAAGGTTATATCGATGTTAGGGAAACATCGAAGGCAGAACATCGATGTTTGACAACATCGACGTTCTGACAGTTGCATACAAATTTAAATGTAAACTAAAACTTAAATAATTTTATTTTTCTACTACTATGGCATTTTAAAGCCATGCATTGTTAAATAATCGACTAAATTTATTCAACTTATAGTTGCCACATTTTTAGGTCAACTGATTGCAAATATCGGTCGCTATGCCGCGGTATCCTTTATATCGGCACTATCAAAGAGTTCGCAGAAAATGTTTCTATCTAGTATCCACATGAAATATCTGATGTTTTCATTTCCGGATCTAACATCGATGTTTGATCGATGTCCCAAGTTTCCAACATCGATGGTAAAAATATCGAACATCGAACGAAGTGCATCGATGTTTTTCTTCCATCCCTACAAGCAACAATGTTTTTTGTCAGACGCTTTCAAAAATTGAGTACTTTACCAATTCTTCTCCCTTCATCTCTATGTTCAAGTTTTTTTATGTTCAATGCAAAAGGTTCTCAAAAATCAATTTTGCTTGCATTTTAGCCAATTTTTCTGGTTGGTTACTGTTGAGCATCATTTTCCCTCAATGCCCCGAATGGTGCCACACGAGAGACCGTTTCAAATACCTTTGTGGGCTCCAAAAACACGATTTAAAAAAAATCCACAAGTTGCTGCTTAATCTATCGGCTGATTTTTGCATTTTGTGTCTATCATTAATGCAAAAAATTGCCTAGTTAATCCGTAACGACCCTTTTCCCGTTGTAGAGTCCAGGGAAGAAACGTGCAAAGCCAGTATTTTAGTAGTAAACAAAGTGAGAATCTTACATAAACCGAAAATTCCGGGCCGTGTGTCGGAGGTGTCTAGGAAAATTCGTTGGCAACGTCATGAGCGAGGTTCTGACTGGCAGTGAACCAGTTTGAAATGTTTCGACAAGATTGACTCCAATAAACGAATCAAATGGAAAGAACCAATAAAAATTGCATGTTTATTGCTTGCTTAATTGTTTGTTATTTAATTAATCATTAATTACCAAACTTAATTCTTCAATTGCTCAATCGGTACCAAATTCTCCATACGAGTCAGTTAATGAAAATGGAACTAAAAGTTCTACATGTACATGACAATAAGGGACAAAGTACTGTTAAGCTTACCGAAAGCTGCGTAGCACCACCTGGAAAGAAAGAAAGAATGTGTTTAATAAAGCGGAAAATATGACCAAAGCCAAACTTATTTGAAATCAGCAAAGCAAAGTTCAAGCTAAAACACTTATAAATTATATATCATTCTTACCAGCTATCTGCAAGCTGGCGGCCCATCTTCCATTTTCTACCCGTTAATTCTCAAAAAGTTAACTACGCACTCACACTAGACGCAATGAAAATCCACTTGGAATAGAAAACTTTATTCCTGCAGTTAGCAGGTAGAATAAGGGCCAGACTGATTCTATATTTCCCATCTAAGAACGCGATTCACACCACACAAAGGATTATCGATCGATTTCGTCCACTGCCAGTAGCAAAATTTTCAAACTTTCCGAAAAAAAAAATACACAACAATAATTAAACATTTAGTCATTTAAATTAAATGAATAACCAAATTAATTTTGTCATTCTAAAAATATTGACTAAACATAAAATCCGCAAAGAAATCACATAAAACTGAATCTGTTGCTCAATTTCCTAGCAATGACAGAAACCAACGAAATTTCAATTAATTAAAAATGTCTTGTGCGCAATTCGAGGTGAGCACAGTGAGGCGCGATGATGAGTCACCAACTCACAGAGCCGCATCATCCCAAAAGCGCAACTCAACGCGGGTCTATTCGAAACCTATATATTTTTTGCGAT